CAGCCACAACAGTGTGAATTCCTCAGGGAGGTGCCAATCTCATCCTCTTGTTCCTCCCACGTTGTTCTGGCAAGCCAAGAAAATGTTTATCTCCCTGAGCTTGGCCTTCATAATTCCATTCCATCACAGTTACTAATGGTAATCTATTCTGTTGTTTGAAGAAATAAAAAATACAGGTAGTCTGGGAGGGAGACTGTGAAAATGAATGGGGGATTTAGACCATACTAGACAACCCTGTGATCCATTGGGTCATCCTTTGAGAGAAAGGTAGTGCAGGTAAACATTAAATTTAGGCCGACCATATTTTTTCTTACCCCAATGCTGGACGGTCCTGTGATCATATAAGAAGAGTATATATCATAAATATAAAAATAATCGTAGTGGCAAATGAACTTCAATAATAAGTCAATATTTACTTACCTAAACAGATAAACAGAATGGCAAAAATGGTGGGCAAAAAAGCAGCGGGAGCAGGAGCGACTTCCAATTTCCTGCCAGCTTTCCCATTGACTTTGCTTGTGGGAAGCTGGCAGGGAACATCATAAATCACGATCATGTGACCGCGGGGACACTGTGACAGCCATAACTTTGTGAATAAAACTGGTGTGAACATTGTGGAAATTTCAGTTCCACAGGAGTAATGGATCCTGGATTTTTAATGCATTTTTTAAGTTAGCAGATTTTAGGTATCTTGATTTAAAAACTGTCGCGATATAGTGCACCATTTGGGCTAACTTGAGGGTACAAACAGATGAACAAGAGTTTTAGTAGTATATAGATAGATTCATTGGGATTTAAAGAGAAGAATCAATCATGGGAAGTCTTAAGAATAATAGGAAATTCTCTCATTTGAAGAGATGCTTTAGAAAACATTTCTGCCATTAAAAGCATAGTGTTTATGTATTTTTGTGTGAATGTGTACATCTTTACACACAGAGAGCTGCACATATATTTACCTTTTCTATTTTCTGTTCACAACCCTTGCAAGTACTTCTATTGGACTTTGCATATTCTGCTGCAAAATCATTTAAACTTTTCTCACGTTTGCTACCTTCCTCTTGGCCACTACCTTTACCTAGAAAAAAAGGAACAATTTTTAGATTCTGATTTAATGAATACACTGGGACAAGAGAAATAAGGTACATAAATCAGGTTTCTCTAGCTCAGGGATAAATATTTTCTGAGACCAGTCTGAGAAAGAGAAATGCCTAGTTGCAATTAATATCTGTTTTCCAGAATATGCAAGAATGAAACAGATTCCAGAGGGTGACAGTAATAGTAATTCACTGAAACTTACTCCCAGATGATTTCTAGAGCAATTAACTTTTGGAGACCTTCTAAGCATGTTCTCCATTGATGAAATCTGTTCCTGGCATAGAAATTTCAGGCTCCTAAACCTGCTCTAGTAGTTATTAATGGTTCACACAGCATTTTTCTCTTTTTATCACCAGTGAATAGCTTACCTGCTGCAGCTCCTCCACTTTCTATGGATTTTTTAATTTTTTCTTGGTCTTCCCAACGCAGTTCTGAGAAGCCATCTAGATCAGCATGGGACAGCAGTTGAGCCCGCTTCCAGAAGCAAGAATAGTGATGCCAGTGAGGTACTTTGCCATCAAACATGGGGGACTGAAAAGAAAGGAATGGAAAAAAAAAAAGAACTTCAGGCACAAAAACTGATATAATGCTTTGCTGAATTGGGGTAAGGGATGGAAATAATGCCCATCTAGTACAATTAGAATCCAGCAAAAATTTGTCTTTATTAATAAGAGTCACAGCTTCATAGATAAACATAGGATGAATTTACCCTTTACAGTATTGTAGCTAACAGATTTAGGTCACTGAAGACTTAACTACTTTAAACAAAAATCTAATAGATAATAGATAATAAATAATATCTAATAAATAATACAAATGACCAGGCAAGTGTAGATCAACTACAAGTAATCTAGTAAAATGGTTCCATGATCACCAATTTCCCTCATTTTGAAGAACTTCCATTGCCATCAAGTTTCAGATTGCTTATTTCTATCATAATGCAGTCTTTAGTATGGGATTTGTGACTACAGCTATTAATGAATTAAACAGTGAATGGGCGTTCCATTTTGGGACAGGTGTTTTTGGTTGTACTTTCCAAATAGAGTAAGAACTAGAGAACAACTCAGCATGCACAAATAACCATAACCAGCAGTACTTTTCTGCAGCATAATTCATCTGTGTGCCAAGAATAAGAAACTCAATCATCTTCCTGTTTCCCTGCTATTACATCTAAAGCTGCTTGCTCTCTGCCTGACCTACTTTACTAGGTAAGTGATGACCAAAATGCTTCCGCATGCTCCTCAGAGAACGGAATACAAACACATCCCACAACAATGGGTTCTAAGACATTACACCATACACTGCTATCACTACTATTATTCCATTTATTTATTTGATTTCAGCCCACTGCAATCAGGCTGCCCGTAGCGAGTTATAAATAGTCACAATTATAAATTGCATTACTTTATTATTATGTTAAATGGAGTCAAATCCACAGGTTTATTCCTAAAATACTAAACTGCCAAGAGAGGGAAGAATCACCAGTATTGCTTGACTAAACCAATTCCTGGTGACTAAACAGATCTATCCATGTAGTGTTCTTGGCAATACTGTACCTCAAGCTGGAGTCAAAATTTACACTTTAAAAACTAGAATGTCTTTATGTCCTATTGCAGAATTTACCATAAACGCACAAGCTCACATTTCAAACTGAGATTCCAGAAGATAATTTGAAAAGTATGATTGCGGTCCATGGCCACTTTTAACAAAACAAGCAATGACAAACTGTCCAACCGTTTTCCAACCCTAAATTCCAGTGTTTAAAATCCCCTCCAAACTCAAGGATAACGACTCCATACACCAGCCTTCTCCAACTTGGGTTTGTTCAACGCCCATAATCCCAACTAGCCTAGGCATCTGGATCAAGAAGTTTGCTAATTCTGGGGAAAAGCCTCATTACATTTAACGGGTGCGCACTTCTGAGTAAACCTTTAAGAGGGCTGTACTATAAATCGCATTTTGTGAACGCCGAGTACCTAAGAAAAACAGGATATTGGACTCGGCTGTAAATTTTAATATGAGAAATGGCCAGCGGACTCCCCCCCCAAAAAAGCTGATATCCGCCGCCCACTGCAGGAAGAGCAGCCAAATCTCGCGGCCCTAATAAGCGACGTGGGAATGGGTGAACGACTTTCAGCTCAAACTATGCCTACTCAGACGTAAAACACGGAGCTCAAAACCGCCTCCTCCCAAGCGAAAGGACAGAGGCATGCAGGTTAAGCCGGCCGTATCGTGGGCCTGCCAGAGAATTATTTCAAAGCGGCATCTCTGGAAGATCCTTGCAAGGAGGAAAGCTATGCGCGAAAAGGGCGGTTCCTCCTGCGCTGCGCATCCTTCAGGTGCCTTGACCCATCGGTGGCACGCGGCCAAACGGAATCGAGTCGATTCCGGGGATCAGACGCAAAGGCAGCGGCGGGACTGTAACAGATGCACCGAGGCTGGCCACAAAGACGATTGCCCGCTTCTGCAAGCAACGTGGCGCCCCCGGGCCTGGCTGGGTTAGGGTGAAGGCCTTGCAGAGCGTCCGTCCCCGCGAGTACCTGCACCATGATGGCCAGGCGGAGCGAGTCCTTGGCGATGTTGTCCTTGCATTTCTTGCAGGAGGCCCGCCCGCTCTTGGCATACTCGGCCCGGTACAGCTTCTCCGCGGGCTCCGCCATAGCCACCCCTCGACGACGACACCCCCAGGAAAAGCTTCGCGCTGAGCCTTGAGAAGAAGGCGGCAATTGCTGCTCCGCTCCTGCAGCAGCGGCGGTGGCGCCAAGAGTGTGCCGAACGCAGAGCGCGTGATCCCGCCCCGTCCAAGTGCCTCCGCTTCAGCGATTGATTAGCCAAGCCTCACTGCGGAGCTCTTCGGAGCCCGCCCGGGGCAATGGATCTCTAGCGAGGGGGGCGGAAAGTCATGGTGCTCGGCAGTAAACCACGCGGCCAGGGATCACGTGCTCGGGCGGGGCGGTCGGTTGGGGGCTTCCTCTCTGCTCTCCGCCACGCCTCCCCCTTCGGGCCGGGAGATCACCGTAATCCGCTCGCAGAGCGCTCTGAGTTGCCCTGCGAGCGCGCCCGACTGCTCGGAGCGCGCGCTGATTTCTTGGGCATTGCTGGCGTGTCCGAATGAGTTCGGGTGCGTGTGTAAGGTCTCACTGGAATAGAGCTCTTGGCGACTACATAGGCGTGTCTGTTGTTTGCTTTTGGGGGGGGGAGTAACACAGAAGTGATTTGCCATTACACTCTTTTTGGATTTTTTTTTTCCAAGTTCCTAGTATAGTCTATAGCTCAGGGATCTTCTGGTGATATCCAGTCCAAATGCTAACCGGCCAAGACCGGTCCTACCTAGCTTTTCCAAAATAAGACAAGTGTAAATTCCACTAGACTCGGGCTGTAATCATAAGCATACAGTCATAAGACCAAACCCTGTTAAAAACAAGGGTGCTTCTGAATTAATAAATACACAGCATAGGGTGGCAAACACACAAATTACAAGTTAAGCCAGTATGCAGCGCATACATACATTTTGGAAGGTTCAACTATGCAAAATACTTTAAAAATCTATGCACTTCATTCCTGTCTCTTCATCCAGAACTCAGCATAGAAATAGTTTTTTGGGGGGCAGGACAGAAAGGGGTAGTCTTGTTTCCAAATGAGCAATATTGGGTTGAAAATAGTTCTTTTATGCCTCTGTGAGGATGTGGATTCTAAGGAAGAGAAAAGGGTATGGGGAACAGTCCTCGACTTTTGGACAGGTAAAGCCTCATCTTTTTCCCTGCAGGGCGATTCTTTTACATATTAATCGGTCTTAGCTGACCTCATGAGTCAAATTAAAGGTTTATTTCACTATTTAAAAACAATGGAGGAATACCAATGTTACCATATTTTGCAGTTCTGGAATTCCAGTGTATTAAAAAAAGGTATATGTTTTGGAAGTACCTGCATGCATGATCACATCTACAGTTGTGTCTGAGAAGAGTAAATAAGAGAAAGAAAAAGAAAATGACAAACAGGACACCTGTGTAGAGGTCTGAGCACATTCTGTTATGATCCACCTGCTGGTTTGGGCAGGCTAAAATGGGTTACTTTGTATTTTGCAGAAAAATTACAGCTTGCAGAAATGCAAAGGTCCTGTCTGAAAACAGCTGCCCACTCCCACCCAAGCAGGACATTCCATTCATACAAGGGTCAAGCTCCCCTTTATTATTTATGAAATAAAAATACAACCTGATTCATAAAACAAATAAGGGTCATGCAGCTGCCCTGCTAGGGGACCAAAAACCCATTGGAATAAAAGGTCATCAGACCATTTCTGAATGCAAGGAGAGTTTGGGCAGCTGTACTTCCAGAGCAGAATATTGCTAAATGAGATGATTACGAAGAAGGGATTTTGGATTTGTAACCTATCTTTCTGTCACAGAGTGATGCCAAACTTGCCTAACAACATGTAACAAAAGATGTAAAACAAAACAATTAACAAAACATAATAAATGATAAAATAATCCTTTAGGGTTATTATAGTTTCTTTAGAAACAAATGCTCATCCTCAAAGCAAAATAAGGCTCAATCACTACTGCAAAGAAAGTAGTGTGTTTCAGTGAAGGAGAAACACAACAGGACCTTTCTTGCTCATACGCCTGACAAATGTGCTTCTGCAAATGGTATTTTCAGAAGGCCTCATTAAGGGGACAATGGCAATAATTGGCCTGGGCCCCTTTGGGAGGGGGGCATCAAAATATAATTCAGTACAGTGAAACCTTGATTTAACAGATCTGTATTTAGCAGACTTTGGATGCAATGGACCACATCTCTGACTGGGCATCCCCACTCCCCAAAATAACGGCCTAGTCTGTGACATTCAAAGTAGTTCAGACAAAGCATTAATTGTATGTTAGTTGCAGTGATTTATGTCATTTGTGTAATGAAATCATAACTCCAGTGGTGTAAATTGCTGCAAATGACGTAATTTTTGATTTAACAGACATTTGGGAATAACAGACTCCCATCCCTCAAATGGTCCATTCAATTAAGTTTTCATTGTACTTGAAATTATTAAATTATGTACATTCAAGGAAGTAACATTAATCCATCAATATGCAATTCTAAGTGTTATTTTGATATTTTGGGTTTCTCTGCATACCTATATTTATCCCACCCCAGAAAAAACTCCGTCTACACTATTGGACTCAGAAAGGGAGAGCATCTCACCTGGGTGTCCTGCCCCAGGGAAGCCTGAGCTCAAAGCCTGATTCCTGTGTCTTGTCCTGTGCCTTGTTTTTCAATAATTCACTGTAATGTTTTTTAAGTGTGATTACAGCACAGTCTAAAAATATTCAGTATGAGTAAAAAGCTTATCCGGAGGTAATAAGTCCCTTAAGAAGATGCCACCTCCCTCCCCTCCTCCTCCTTTAGCAAGGCCTGGAGCAGACTAGCAGTAGCAACCGCAGCAATTGAAAGAAGGCAGTACTGATTCCTAGTAGGACAAGATCTGCTTGATGAAAAACTGTCCATTGACAAGTATACTATGACTGGTGTCTATAGGAAAATAGGTAGCATCTAAAAAAACGAATCCAGCATACTTTTTCTCTCACGTACCTTAATGGTAGGCCATTGGCAGCTTAGTATCCCTTTATTTGAATAGTCCCCTTTTAAGGTGGATATTTATCTTCTGAAAGTAAATTTCATAGTTTGACCATCATTATTTGTTTAATTTATATCCTGCCTTGTGGCTAACACATGACATTTGAGGCAGCCATTAGTAATAAAAGTAGAATCAAAAGTGGACACCATGAACATTAATGGAACTGATATAAACAGGCAGGATTTACCCAGTTTGGCAACAAACTTTTAAAGCCTGCCTGAATAAACATACTTTAAACAAGTGAAAGCCTTAAGAAGGTGATGGTTTTCCTCACCTGTGTTGTTCTAGTTCCCTGCAGTTATCAAAGATAAAAAAGCCTCTCTCTCCACTGTTTGATTGATGAACGTTGTAGGCATAATGGCTTTAGGCTGGGGTTGTTCATCATATTCATATGCTTTGTTTGGTTTTGGCTTAGAATATGGGGTAAACCCCCAAATTGTGGCTTATTCTACAAACCATGGCTTAGCAAACTGTGGTTTGTATGAGTCCAACCTTAGTTACATTTTGGTTTAAACGTGATGACATAGTTCTTGAACTACATGAGTATCCAAACTCATTTGTGTTATTTGGATACTAAAGAGAATGAAATATATTACATTAAAGGCTAAGGAGATGCATAATCAATTCTTTGTGTAAAAAAACAATACTGGCAATCAAAGGCTCTGCCTTATCTATACCTGAACACAATTTTTGTACTGGGTTTGGCTGAATGGGATAGTCTTCAATTCAGATTGTATTTGTAGCCACTAGATGGCAGTATAGGCAAAGTTAAAATGCTGCTCAGGTACAGAAAAAAAAATGCTCTTAAATTCTAGCTAGGAGCTAGAAATCAAAAAAGAATTTTGTGTTCTTTCCACCCTGGGGAAAACAGCACTGATGCTACAGTATCTGTAAATATAACTTTGCTTTTACAGCTTTGGCCTATACCCATTTAGCCTATCCCAACCACTGTGAGAGTGGATGGAAAGGGGGTTGGTTTTCCTTTGCCTCCTTGCAGATGCTGCCTATGCTTGCTCTGGATGTCAGAAAATGACATCCTGGCAGTGTGGGGCAAGAAGAGCAGAGAGGATAGACCCTTCTTAAATAAATAGAAGTACTTGTGTGGTACTGAATTTTGCTATTGGGAAAAAACAATCTGGGAGTAAGGCATATAGCAGGGTGGAATTTAGGTCAAGATATCATAATATTTGGCTATTCCCTAGCTGCACATATAAGACACAGGGCCTTCCCACCCTTGCATCTAACCAGGATGCAAAACAGACCCTGACAACCTGTTTATTCTGCTATGTACCTATGATATTGCCTTTTTCTTCTCCCCAGCCCATGAGTGATACAGGCGTAAGTCATCCTTAACTGTTTCAGTTTTAAAGTAGCATTTCGCCCCTTGAGCCAACAGCAACATTTGGCAGCATCCAGATGAAGATATTCTTATGCACTTTGCTGACTACTGCGTTGGCAGAGCAATCAGATAACTCCTGAAGACAGCCTAGCACCTTATTGACCAACTTGTGTGAACAAGCCCCATCTCTTGGAGGGTTGTGTACTTTCCTCACTCATGGAAAGGTGGTTTTAGTGCTCTTTCAGAAGTATGCTAAATCCAGTGTTGAAACAAGTCCACCAAACAGCTGATTGTCAAGCTGGAAGAGCTGCCCAGTAAATAAGAGAGTCTCTTCCATTTTACTGGACTGCCCCCCCCCACATGGCCGCTAATTTGTGTATCAATGTTTAATTTAGGATTTGCAGGACAAATACCAAAGAGCATCAAGAGAGACGCCAGTACGGCAACAAATTTTGAAGAAAGTTTACTAAGAAATTGTCCCCAAATATACTCACAGCACCAGGGGGTCCATCCTTAATCTGCCACGTGAGCCCAAATGGCAGGACAGTCTCCAGAATTTGATTCACAGAAGGGTTGCTTTTGTTAGGCAAGTTTCGGAGGGATTTGAAGACCTGGCTCTGCCATCTGGCCTGGGGCGGGGAGGGAGGATAT